TTAAAAAAAAATAGTAAAAAAAAAGAAAAAAAAAAAAAAAAGGGAAAAAAGGAAAAAAAGCAAGTAAAGCAAAAGGAAGGCACCGGTAAAGGAACAACCTTTTCGAACCCGCCCGGAATTACCACGCCGGCAAAAAAAAGCACAATTACTTTCCAAATACAATTATTTACCTTTAACAAAGCCATAAGCACCCAAATAGCAAATATAAAAAGCACCGTTACTTTAACGAAAGCAACCAAATACCGGGCCAATAAAAACACGCACGAAAACGTTAATAAAAACCATTACCAATACCCAATTATATAAAAGGAAATAACGATAAAAAACGAGCTATACCATACCGGATACAAACCGTACCCAAAAGCATAACGCAAGGCCGGAAAGCGCAAAACGCTAGCTTTACGCAATAACCACCCGGCTGGCCAAGCTTTCGCCTATTAACGGCGATTGCCGGAACCACCCCAAAGCAATGGCGCTTTTTTAAAGCCACATTTTTTATACGTTTTCCTTATAATTTTTCCATATATTAACCTTTACCTTTATTTTACCATTATACCTTTTTGGCCGGGGGTATAAAAACGTTTTTTTGCCGGAGCATTTATTAATAATCGAACGAATTACAATAAACGGAGCCGGCGGTTTAACACCGACCCGGTACCGGTTTGTAAGCGCAGGGTTTTCCTTTTTAGGCCAAACCCAAGGGTTTCCCCCACGCAACATTTAGCAATAGCATTAAGGTTTTTTTTATAAACAAAACAAAGTATAAATATATATAAATAAATTTGCATGGAAATTATGCTGCAAATTAATAATAAAAATAATTTAGCGTATTTTAACCGGGTATTAAAAATGTTGCGAAAAAAAATTCGTAAACGTTAAAGCATGTAAAGTAATGGTTTGTTTCCGGGCTTGCAATTAAATGTTGCTAAATATAGTTAAATACGTATTTATAGCTTTTTTTTGCGTTTTTTGCGTTTAGTAATTGGCTTAGCGTTGGGTTATTTATTTAAAGCAATTCGTTTTTTTGGTATTTGCGTATTTAACCGGTTATTTTTTTACCATTTTAAAATTGTTAAATTTGCTCGTTTTTATTGCTAAACGTGCGGTTAACAAAAAAAGGGGGGGAAAAGGGGGGAAAAAGGGGGGAAAAGGGGGGAAAAGGGGGGGAAAAGGGTTGTTTTGGTTTGTATTTGTTTTGGTGCTAGTTTTGGTTTTTTATTATTATTTTTCGAAATAAGCCTTACGGTAGCCCGCGTTTTTCCAGCCCGATTTCGCTTTTTATTTATTGTAAAAAAAAGCATTTGGTTAGCAAGTAAAATGCCGTTTTTTTTTGCCCGGTTTTGCACGGGCAACGTAATATATGCGCATTAAAAACGGGTTGTTTTTACAAAAATGCTTTTAATTTTAATTTTTTTATTTTTAATTAAATGGTTATAACGTTTTAAATTTTAATAAATTTTTGGTATGCTTTTAATATTGAACCGTTAAAATTAAATTTGTTTGCAAAAAATGCAACCCGAAATGGGTTTGCTTTTGTTGTTGCGGCGCGGGTATTTTTGCATTTAACGTTCCATTCGATTTCGAGCCATTTTTTTTTATTTTTTTTGCGCGCTTTCGTTTAATTAATTTTTGTGCTTTAGCGTTAGCTTTTAATTTAATTTTTGCTTATATTATTGGTATTGCCGGGGCGGGGCCGGGTTTGGGGTTAAATAGGCCCGGGGGGTTTTATTTTTGCGCTTACCGGTTTTTGCCCGTTAAATTTAAAAAATGTAATACTTTCGTTTTTTTTTGGTTTTTTAATTATCGAAAATATTATTTAACTTTATTAATACCGGTTTAAATTACGTTTTTTATCCCAAAATTTCCCATTATTTTTTTGCGTTTAGCACCTTTTTGTTTAAATACAAATTAATTAAAAAATAAAACATTCGGTTTTAAAGTTGGCCAAAAAAGTGGTTTTGTACGCTTTAATTATAATTTTTAAATACGCGCGCTATTTTTTTGGAATTGCTTGGCAGCGCTTTTAAAACGGCCCGTTGCTAATATAATTATGTAATAAGCTATTGCGCCGTATATTAAAACCGTGCGGTAAATTACGTTATAAAAAAACCTTTTTTTTTGCAAACGTATTGCTTTACGTTAACAAAATAAATTTGGTTAAAGCTAATTATTGCTTTTTTTGTTTGCTTTTTGCTTTTTTAACGTATTTTTTAAAATTAAAGCAAGCGTTTAGCTAAATCCTAAAAAGCCTAACCATTTAATTAAAAGCAATTGTTATATTGCCAAATTAAATTACGAACGGGTTTTTGTTTTTAATAAAGTAAATAAATTTTATTTTGGTATTATTAAATTTTATGCCGTATTTGGTTGTTTACGCTTTGCATTTGGGCCAAGCTATTTTTAAACGCTAAATTGTATTTTTTGCGGTATTTTTTTATTGTTAATGGGTTGGTATTATCGGCAAACGCGGTAACGAAAATCCTTAAAATGCTTTTTAAATTTTCGTATAACAATGCAATGTATATAATAAATAAAATAAAAAATAAAAAAAGCTTTAAAAAATTCCGGTTCGGATTAAAATTGGGTTCGAAATATTGCCGTTAAATTGCAAAATGGTTATTTTATTTATTAATTACTTTTGTATTTATTTATTAATTAATGATGGAAAACCGCGCTTTTTAACGTATGCAATAGCTAAAAATGGTTAACGGTATTAAACGTTCCGGATAAATTAAATTATAGCAATAACGCAATAGCACCGTAATTTTATGCTATTATAATAGCTTTTATTATTTTTTAAATTGTTAATTCCGTGCTTTTAACCCGTTGGTTGCTTATTTGGCCGTTGGGAAAAATGCTTTTTTTTCCGCTTTATTTGCAATTCGTTATGTTATAATTAATTTAATTGCTTTTAAAATTAACTATTACAAAGCAATAGGTTTTTATCCCCCGGTTTGTTTTTTTTCGGTAATTTTGCTTAATTTAAATAATATTACCGTAAAGGCCTTTTTAAAGCATTTCGGAAAATAGCTTGTAGCAATTATTGCGTTAGCAAATTTTGCAATAACGGTTGCGCCTGGATATTTAGGGCTTTAAATAAACCGTTTGGAAAATGGGTTTAACTTATTGCTTTTTACGGGTTAATACGGCCCGTTACCGTTAAAATGTTTTGCGGGATTATTAATATAAGCATTTAAAAAGGGTTAAAAAAAGTATAATCCAAAAAGGTTATTTCGTTAATATTTAATGTATTGGTTAACGGGTTAAAAAAATTGGGTAATAAAATTTTAGCTTTTTTTTAATAATTGCGCGGCGTATTCGGGTTTTTTCCGGTTTTAACCAAATTTAGTAACCGGTCCGGGTTTTTTTTTAAAAGCTTTTTAAACGGGCCCATTTTTCGAGCTTTTAAAGCGCGCCGTTTTTTTTTAATGTTTTATCCCGCCGTAAATATAACATTTTTCCAATAATTAACTATTATTTAGCGTTTTTTTTATAAATGCTTTATTCGTTGCTTTATACACTTTTTATGCTATTTATATTTTGTTTTTGGTAAATGCGCGTTGTAACCGGTTCGTTTTTTTTCGTAAATCGTTTAATTTGCTTATTTAATAAAAAGCGCATTTGTTAAAAAGGTTTAATTTTCGTTAAAAGGTTAGCTAATTTGCAAATTGGGTTAATTATTGCATTAATTTATTCTTTTTTTATTTATATTTTTAGCGCTATACATATTCCCGGTTGCTATTAATTTGCTAATTATTTTGGTTTTAAATTTTGCAAGCTTTTTTATAAATTTAACGTTTTTCCATTTTTAGTTTATTGCTTATTAATATTAAATTGTTTACGGTTTAAAAAAAACGTAAAAAATTTAAAATAAATGGTTAAATTTTTTTATCGTATTGTTTTATTTTAAATATTTTATTTCAAATTGGCTTAATGCTTAAACGTAATTAATTTTGCTATTTGTTTTTTTCGTTTCGT